ATAACATTTCAGTTCTAACTTCCTGAATCTTTATTCCATCTACTATTGGACTTTAATAACCATTTAGAAATCCTGTATAATTCTATATGAATTTTAGTTACAAAGACATCTCACGGAAGATATTTCTTATGGGTTAGCAGAACTGAAACGAAAACATTAAATGGAAAGAAATAAGCAAGGATAAAAACCAACATTTGAGAGGCTATCTGTTTCCAAGCCAGGATTTTTTAATTTAAAACCTTCTTGTGTCTGCTTAAAACCTGTACTGGAAAATTGAAGACATCCTGAGGATATCTGAGATGTTGTAGAGGAGAGAGAGATTATCTTCTATATAAATCCATTGAGAACATTAGATTTTTCACCAAGTTCTCTCCCAACCAATATCATAAATATAACAAACACTAAAAGAATATTTATAACATTTGTAACATTTTACACATCCCCTAAGTGAATAGCAACCTAATGATCTTCTGTCCAAAATTACTCAAAATCAAGATAAAAGAGAAGCATGCTTTGATTCACCGCATTTCTCATTAAATATACAATCAGATATCTTACATATTTCCTATTTACAAGACAAAACTATAGCTGAAAGGGCTTTTGTTATCTATAACTAAAAATCAGTTCAGTTATCAAGCTATTGGAGATGAAAACAGTATACTAAAAGAGAGAAGTTCCTCTTTTGTAGTCTTTATAAATTACAACGGCCCATTTTTTTTAAAAAAAAAATCTTCACCGTGAAATGATGGATTTTTTTTAATACCTTTATCAGTGATGATATGATATGAAGACCTATTTGATTGATTACCTTTAAATGTCCATTAATTTACAAGGCAGTTTGTCAGAAATATTGTTCAAATATGGCAATGAGCAACTACATTTGCAAAATTAGTACAGAATTTGCCATATTCTATTGTCATTTTAGCACTGATTATTACATCTGTTATTTCCTTTTGAATCTGAGGCCAAGCACCATTTATGCAGGCTTAACTAGTCACACTTATTTTTTTATATGCCTGGTTTATAACTATCTGTATTTATCTGGTTGATATTTAGACAGTGGAGTCTCCCTATAGAGCTAGTATCTAATATTAAAGATTCAATAGAGGGAATCCTTGACTTACTACCACAATTGAGCCCAAAATTTATGTTGTTAAAAGTGAGACATTTGTTTAGTGAGTTTTGCCCCTTTTACGATATTTCTTGCCATAGTTGTTAAATGAATCACTGCACTTGATAAGTTAACACCACGGTTGTTAAGTAAATCTGGCTTCCCCATGATTTTGCTTATCAAAAAGTGATCACATAACCTTGGGACACAGCAATGGTCATAAGTATCAACTAGCTGCCAAGCATCTGAATTGCTGCTACAAAGGTTGTAAGTGTGAAAAAAAGGTCATAAGACACTTTTTAAGTGTCGTTGTAACTTTGAGTGGTCACTAAATGAACTATTGTAAGTTGAGGACTACCTATACTATTTAAACAACATTGCAGGTAATTGTACAGTAGGGAAAAGCTCAAGAAACATGGTCTTTCTGTGCAAAAACTGTAAAGCATAAATATTATATCTTTAGTATTTACACACACATACACACAGACATAACTTTCTTTTATTTTGATGCATGACCTGAATCCAAGATTTACTATAAATATATCATTTTCAATGTATGAATGTAACTCTATTTCAAGTATTATTGCCTCAAACATTTTAGTAAATGTGACAGTGTGCTCAATCACTCGTTTATATGTTTAAAGTCTATCTGTCCTTCTAGGGAAGTGAATGAAGGTGCATGGCATACACATTAATATTTTCTGTACATATGTCAGAGTACTTATGGAACTTTTGACAAGGCAATTTGATTTCTCTCTTCATCTGCTTTTTGGTTTATTAGTATTGTTTGTTTGGAAGATGATTTTTGCACTCTCTGAAGCACTTTTAAAGAGCAAGAAAACAGGAGCTGTAAATTAAATTGAGTGTTGAGCAGCACAACATACGTGGCCTGGAGGAATCTACAGTGATATAACTAGTGTGTTTGTATAAATAATCATATGTTGTTAATCTGGAGTCTCATGCCTTGACTCTAGCTTTTAAAAGCATACAATGCCTATTGCACTGGCAGCACAGCCTACAGTGTAAGGATTTCTTAGCAATTCATACATTCCTTGTCCCAGTTTCACACTGATTAAAGGCTCTTCCCAAGCAAAAGAGATGTGCATAAAATCAGATTCATCCAGAAAGAAATTGAATGCCTGAGTATATGCACAAGATAGGAAAACCTAAGGGTATGCGTGGAGAAAGAGAGAGGGGGAGATAGAGGGGAAAAGAGGGAGGGAGGGAGAGAGAGAGAAGGAGAGTGTGCTGATTTTGTTAAATAGAGGGTTCATTAAGTCTGTCATTTGTATCTCTATAACTGTTTGGTTTAGCACAACAACCAAACCATACAGATACAGATTTCAATGGATAGTTAGGACTGCAGAAAAAACAATTGCAACTAGCCTGCTTTCCACTGAGGACCTGTATACTGCATGAACCAGAAAGAAGGCTGACAAAATATCTACAAACCTCTCACATCTTGGGCATGAACTGTTTCAACTTCTCTTCTCAGGATGAGAAGGGCATTGCAAACAACTAGACACAAAGTTTTTTTCCCCACTGTGCTGAACACCTAACCCCAACAATATTGTCTTAAACCTAAAGTTATATATTTACCCATGTTGTATGGCTGCATTACTATTATCCCTCTCATATTTCCTACTACCTTCTTCTATTGGTATCTTATGATTTATAATTGTAACTATCATTTATGATCTATGACTTATCACTTTTTTGTTTGTATGTACACTGAGATCTTATGCACCAGAGACAAATTCCTTGTGTTGGCCAATCATACTTGGCCAATAAAGAATGCTCTGCTCTGCTCTACATATATTTATGTGATTCCTTATACTGTAGCTATTGACTGCTTGTCTATTGAGATTTTCACTCATCCAGGTCATTGTTGTTCCAAAGGTGCTTTTTCAAGAAGCAACTGTACTTTCTGGTTTTTATTTGAAGTGTTTCATTTCTCATCCAAGAAGCTTCTTCAGCTCTGACTGGATGGTGGGGAATGGAAGGATTTATACTCCTTGTAGGCAGCTGGTTATTTGCATTCTTTTAGAGTCATTGAGGTCACCTGAAGGTTTAACTGTGTCATCAGGGTCACCTGAGTAGTGCAAATGGGTGTGGAGCCTTCTTGGAACTATGGAAAGGACTGTTGAAAGAACTACAACACAATCCTTTCAACAGTTTCAAGAAGACTCTACACCCATTTGCACTACTCAGGTGACTCTGATGATACAGATAAACCTCAAAGTTGCTTCAAGGAATCTATAAAAGAATGCAAATGACCAGCTGTCTGCAAGCAGTGTTATATAAATAAATAGTATAAATATACAATATTTAGCATTCACAATACAGGAAAATAACAGAGATAATTCTTATTGCTTTAGCTGATGCAATAAAAAGTATTGCATCATATCCATTTTTATTTTTAATAAGGTATATTAAAAAGAGTCTATATACTTTCATGGACTGATAAATTTTTCACATATTGGGAAGAAGCGAATGAGGGTAAATTGGAAAAATTTTAAATAAAGTAAGATTTCATGAGCAACAGTACAAATGATTTGGCAAGGTTCAACAGCTTTTTCAGAGCTGAGATTCTCATGTGATTTTCCACAATGCCATAATACTCTTAAATATAAAATATGAAGATATATGGAATCCTATTGGTTGCAAAAGAATTGAAGAATCAGAAAGAAATAAGTGCCTGCAGGAAGGTTTGTTCAAAACTAGCAGTTTACCTTCATTTTTGCATATTAGACTGAGCAATCTCTTTAAAGGTGCAGTCTATTTCACAAGTTCAATATATATTCAAACTAATTATCTCCTTGCCCTTGGAAAGTGCTCACAGAAAAAGAACTTAAGAAAAAGTTTTATGCCCTTCTCTGATTGCTTAGTTTCTGAGTTTGGTGTCCAATCTGTTTTTCTCGGCTTTTCAGATCTTAAATTTTCACAAGCCACTCCAATGGCAATTTGCTCAGCAATGAAATTGCCAGATTCCCTTGTCAAATATTTGCCACAGTGTCAGCTGAATACATCTAAACTCTTTCCATTCCAAATCTGATTTCCAATTTCTTTTGTTGACTGCAAAGAATGGAACCCCATCTGGGAAAAATACTGCTGGAAGAGATGTCTTGTGCTTAATGTTGCTATGTCAATCTCTCAAGGTAGACCAAGTCAGGAAATGCTCTCCACTAATGGCATTATATGTTATTATTTATGAAATGAATGAATTCTTCAGAATAGTAACAGGATCTTAAAAAGCTGGCAGAGATTTCTTCTGATGTTTCTTAAACTGTATTGAATCCTTTTAAAAGTAACTTTCTTATGTTTACTACTTTTCTAAGGTTGAAATTTCATTTACAGTCTTTTTTGTAGATAAAGGTTCTTGCATTCCTTTATCAAGGTTGTCTCCTTCTACGTTCAGATAACAAAGGAGAGATTTTCCACTCGGCTGTTTCCCAAAACCTTTTTTCTTCTTCTTTTCTTGTCTCACTCTGTGAGGAAGTTAACTGTGTATCTCTTTCTAAAGTAGCTTTCTTCTCTATTCTATCCCTTCCTGCACTTTTGAACCAATAGGGCTTCATAAAATAGGGCTGAGTTTCTAGATTAAGATTAACATTGTTAGGATATGGTATAAGCCTAACGGGTTGTCCAGGCAATATATGTGTTCTATAAATTTAAATGAGTTCTGTAACTTTAAGATGTAATGCTGAGTAATTGTACTGCTGAGTCATTGTAATGACTAATGACTGCTGACTGACTGCTGACTGCAATTATACAAATTGTACTGTTGAGTCATTGCACTGCTGACTTCACTTATCTTAAGTGGATAATTACTAGTGTAAACTGTATATAAGGAGACAGCCGAGCTATAATCATTGTTGGTCAGAATTGCTTGACTTGATGGTTGGAACTGTTACCGTCATGTGTGAAGAAGTGGATGGATCTGCTACCATCATGATATGTTACCAGCATTGAATTGCTGTTTATTACCTACTGCTGTTTGTATGGTAAGATGATATTTGTAACTTTGGACTGATTTGAATGGCTAAAGACTTGGATTGACTAAAAGACTAGGCAATTGTTTTTCACTACAAAGTAAAAGCTTTGTTAAACCAGTTTGTATGTATTGTATTCATTGCTCTCAGTACCGTTTCTCTGTGCACTTACTCTGCTGGTTGGTAACACAACAATATACTTAACAAACATCCAATTCAGTCTATAAGTAGTTTGTATTTCCTACACCTGCAATTTTAGCCTAATCACTTTTTCTTACTTTCAGTTCCTTGCTTCTTCTTCACTTCTCTTGCAACTCTAATGTTGCATTTACATTTTCTGGTAATATTAATGTTAGTTTTAATTTATTTTGCTGTTTTCAGGTTGAGTTGAAGATATCCTTTACTGATTTTACTGTTTTAACAAGTTCTTGTAATATGAGATTTAGAAAGATTTTCTTGCAGAACCATTGAGTACATTAGCTGAAATCTAGAAAGAGCAAATTTTGGTATTAGTTGAAAATTAGTTCCTGCTTGAGATATCACAATTAAGCTTGCTTGCAATCTTCTTTTTCTTCCTATAGCCAGCGTAATAGGCTGGCTTTTAATGTTTTTGCTATAATGATGTGGACAATCCGCAATATATTTCAAAACCAATCTTTGTAACCATTAATGTTCAGTTCTATATTAATTATGAAAGTTATAAATATAATATAGGTCACCCTCTGTATTTTAAAATATTATTTTATTTATACATCATTAACCGTGTTATTAAAAAAGGTTAATTTAATTGTACACTAAACTCATTTGGGACTTTTGAACCCAAAATAGATTATTTAATTCTCTCTTAGTTTAATCTTGTTAAAATTAATGTTAAATTATTATAAAAATCTTGTCATCATTTTTGGCAGTCCTTGAAAAAACAAGGGGACATCATAAAGACAACATAAAGTAGCAAGAGTATCTTTAGTGATTGGTAGATTATACTCAGGAGGCTATATATGATATGTTGATCCATTCTATTTGTGAAACTGATTATCTCTTTAGAGCAATGTATTGCACTTAGACATATATATTGCTTCATAGTACCTACAACAGGCTCTAAGCAGTCTGCAGAGTCAGCATACTGCCCCTAACAATCTGTGTCCTCATTTTACTGATCTCGGAAGGATGGAAGGCTGAGTCAACCTTGAGCCGGTCAGAATCAAACTGATGGCAGTCAGCAGAATTATCCTGCAGTACTCCATTCTAACCACTGCACAACCATGGTGCTATAGCAGATATAGTATAACACACAAACGTCAAACTCACGCCATCACGTTGCCATCACGTGATGTATCAGAATGCTTTTTTCCTTCACTGACCTGGGGTGGGTGTGGCCTGTGCGTGATGCATCCAGCCTGGGGACACAGTTTGACACTCCTGCTATAGTAGATGAAAACTAATATGGGAAATTCCATCTATTTCATGTCCTTAATTATAACTGTGTAAACTGTGTAAAACTATTAATCATAAAATGGCAACATCTTGAAAATATCTAATTATAATACACAGATTTTATACAGTAGAATTTTGCTATGTAACTGTGCTCTACCTAGTTGTAAAAATGAACACTACAAAAGTGTAAATGTACATTTCAGAGTCCATCAAGACACTTATAGTCAAATTTAAAATCTATTTAAAATAATGGGAAAGTATAGAGACGGTCTGCCAAACTCCAGGCCCATGGGCTGGATGCGTCACACACTGGCCACGCCCATATCTGGTTTAGCAAAGGGGAAAAAAGCCCCAATATGACACATGATGCCACCATGATGACGTGAGTTTGACACACTGGTATAAAGAATGTCTTTAACCATGAAAGACTTATTACCATTCTGATTTATAAAGAAAACTTTTGTACAACATTTTTTCCATATTAATTAAAAAATTAAATTGAAAGCTCATAGTTTAAGGAATGTTTTAGTAAGTACCAAATTTTTGTTACATTTTATGTAGATTTAAATGTACATTTCATGTACATTTTATGTTAAATTCTCTGTGAATTTGGTAGAGATGAAATTGTTTTTATTTGTTTTATTCCAAAGAAAAGTTTTCAGTGAAATTCTTAGTGTCAGAACTTTTAGAATCAAGAAAGAAATAATTATGTTTAGTTCAGGAATTTTCAGCTTCATTTGTTGTTTGTTTGTTTGCTTGAGGCCACCAAACCTGTTCCTTGAAAACAAAATCTGGAACCTCTCATTAATAGGAAAACATTTCAATTCCAGTCCCTTAGCCTAGAATTGATACATTCCATTTGGCATTTACTTTAAAAATGTTCTTTAAGTTTGGGTAAAGATATATTATGGGCTTTCTTTTCATTGTCGATTCTATCCAATGAGAAAACACCTAATGTGACCAAGTCGTATGCCTCAAATTGGGCTGTTAAATCATGCTTCAGCTGAATATTTCGTTTTGTAAACTAAAGTGAGCAGACTCAGTTTGAAGCTGACAAAAATCATTAAAGTAATTTTTTAGCCCAGTGTTTCTCAACCTTAGCAATGTCAAGCTTTCTGGACTTCAGCATGGCTGACTATGAAATTCTGGGAGTTGAAGTCCAGACATCTTGAAGTGATCAAGGTTGAGAAACAGAGATTTTAGGCTTCTGAAAGGGTACAAAGATCGTCTCTTCCCCAAATGTTGCACTACAATGTGGGTTGAGTCAGGAAGCTAGTAAACTACTAACTGTCCTTCTGTTTCCATTTATATGTACTCATTTTATGTGTTTATGGCTATGTTTTGCTCATTTATTTCCTTTTATTTGTGCCAAAAAATTTTCATGTGTCCATGTCTCTGTCTATACTGTTACTTGTTTTCTTGTACTTGTTGACAGACAGACAGACAGACAGACAGACAGACAGACAGACAGACAGATAAATGGTTGGCCTAGTGTCTGGTAGGAAGGCCTGGTGTCTGGTAGGTTTTGTTTTTATGCTTGTTTTTACTGGTAGTTGTGAGCCATCTTATTTTAAGAGATAGATTGCCTTAATAAAATAAATAAACAAATATAATCATCACATAATTAATTTACAATCACTATTCTGTCTGGGTTTACCACTGATTTTAATGTAGAATTGTTGTAAATAATAAAGTATTCATGGATCTCAATATTAAAATTTGGTTGGATGGAAAATTTTGATAAAACCATAATGAACATACAATATATTTGACTGTTCTTTGTACACATTCCTATATTTCAAAAGAGACAAATACATCTTTTTACTAATTATTTTTTAATTAATTTCATTAAACCATGTCTTGAACATAAAATGTTCATTCATTCAAATGCAACCTTGCTTTAAAGAAAAAAGGATATGATTAATTAGGCAGAATCCACAGTATCTAAAAAAAAAAAGTAAATAATTTATTGAATATAATTTCTTTAAAACCAAGAAAATTTCCACCAAACAGATCAGAAAATTTACATGAGCAATTTTAAAATATGCATGAATTATAATTGTATAGCATTTAGAAATTATGAAAATAAATGAATATAAGACAACTCTTTATAAAACATGTAATGTAAAATGACCCTAAACTTTCTTCATGATTTATTTGTATAAATAACAATATGTCTATTACTGACTTTCTATTAAGTAAATAGAAATATCTATTTTATTAAATAAATATATAGGTATACACTTATATATAACACATAAACAAGGTAAGATGTATTACAGTCTCATCATGCATACAATACTTCAGTATCACAAATGCTTTATTACCCTAAATTAAAATACTACATTAAAATAAAAATAAGAGGCTTTTTATAGTATTGAGATTTCTGACTTCCCAATACATTCAGAACCTCCAAAACATCATTATGGTTATGAAAATTTATGAAGCAAAAATTATTCTGGTACCATGTTTTCCTGAAAATAAGACCCTGTCTTATATTTTTTTTTGAACCCTGAAATAAGCGCTTGGCCTTATTTTGGGGGAGGCGTTATTATTTTGGGGTTCTTCGAGCAAGATGGGGCTCCTCTTGCCGTCTTACCTGATTTCAAGCTCTGTGTTTATATATTTTTGGGCAGGGCTTATTTTAGCGCATGCGCTCAAAAGCCCAATTGGGCTTATTATGAGGGGATGTCTTATTTTTGGGGAAACAGGGTACTTTAATCTTTTTTGCAACAAGTGTTGAAAAACATTTTTCTTTCTTTTGCAAGCATAACATTTGAAATAATGTTATATTTATTAATTTAAAAGCTAGTGTAACTAATCACTCATTGTATGATCAAGGTTGCTATAATGGATTATAGGAAATGAACCATATTTATTTATGACATTTAATTCCAGCAATTACAATGATGGAACTGCAATGCCTAAAGACTAATGAATATCTGACAGATAAGATTTAATTAATGACCATATCATAAATCAGCAATATGCAATGTGCTTTTTTTGTTTATTTGTTTCTACTACAATAAAGAAGACATCAGAATATTCTGCTACATACTGTTCCTTCTTGCTTTTTATTTATTGGCAGAAATAGGAAGGGGGAAGGAAAAGATAAAAAGATAAAGCATAATTCAGGGCTCAAACATAAAGACATTTTTATTCTGCTGTATGAAAAATTCATAATAATGGGAAACTGACAATGCACTCCTACATCTATCAAATTCACCATGCAAAATAATATTTCCCAATTTCTATTCTCCTATATTGTAATAGATTCTCTCCATATTTTCTAATTTTATTTTCAGTTTAGTTCTTTTCTGTAAAATAAATTTTGCCATGGTCATTAACTCCTGTGACTTAGTTAAGAGCTAATAAATACCATTTATTTTGAGCAACATTTTACACAAATCCTTTTGCACAGTTAATTGATTGCTTATAAGCTAGTCCTCCCCATTATAGAAAATGCACTTCAACTTCCTCTAATTAGACATGAATAAGTTCACCACCATATCATCTATCTTGTCAATCAAAGAAAAGGAATGCATAATTGCAATGTTGAATCTTACTATATACAGTAC